ATGGACCTTCTGGTAATGTAGTTGTTAAAGGACTAATTTAATTCAAAAGTACCGTGCTATATAGACGATTAAAGCTCTCAATCTTGACTACATTTACCGCGAAACTTGCAAATTATAAAATTCGATTCAACTACGAAGCTAGCAAATGAGCTCTAGCACATTTGTACACTTTTCATTCCTAAGTCATGAGTCTAATTGATCAGGAAATAGATTTTGATTCGAAAATTGATCACTTCTGTACCTATTTTCAGGTTTAAAATGGTTCAGGTTCAGGTTTAAAATGGTTTTGCGAATTCTAGAAATAGATACCAAATAGAAATCGAAGCTTTTCTTTAATTAACAATGAGAAAATGATGTTGAGTTGATAAAATGAAGAAATTATCTATGGAAAACGATCTATGGAGAACTAAAACTGGAAAACTATCTATGGAAAACTAAAAAATTATGGACCTTCTGGTAATGTAGTTGTTAAAGGACTAATTTAATTCAAAAGTACCGTGCTATATAGAGAATTAAAGCCCTGAATCTTGGCTACATTTATCTACCGCGAAACAAATCTAGTTCGAGTTCTAGTTCTAGTGACTTACTTTAACTTTTACAGAAAATTTTGTCTTAATTTTTACTCATATCTTTGCACAGAAACTATTTGCTGTTTTCCACACTGAAACGTTCGATTGTCCCTTCTTTCATTTCCCTCTAATTTGCTCAAATCGTACTAACCATTGTTCAAAGCTATTCATATCCAATAACAGAACAGGTGATTTGTCTAGATTTCTCACCGTTACTTCATTATTCAAGTTTCGAACAGACTTTTACTTTACATTTGTATTATACATCAATTTTGTTATTTCTCATCATTCCAGCTACTTACTTTTCTCTATTTACTTGCTTTAAGTAAGTAAAAAAGGCTTAGAAAGCTTAGAAAAGCTATTTACTTGCTTTAAGTAAGTAACAAAAGCTTAGAAAAGCTATTTAGTGGTATAGCTTTAAGATGAAATTGTAAAATTTTATATGACTAGCTTTCCTCTAATCCTTTTTTCTTGAAACTAGAATTTTTCTATAACTTTCCAATCTACAAATCCAAATTTAAACTCGATTAAAATATTCCTGTTGTGTTAGCTAAAAAGTCATTCTAAAGTCTAGTCATTCTTTACTTTACAGTTGTATTAAACATCAATTTTGTCATTCTTCATCATTCCAGCTACTTACTTGCTTTAAGTAAGTAAAGAAAACTTGGAAAAGCTATTACCCTCCCCTCCCCTCCCCTTTAAGGTCGAGAAGTGAGCAAGTACAGCAATCGAATGAACGCAAGACAAAATGCAAATGCAAATCCATATCCAAATAAGAAACTAGTATTGAATATAAAACTCAATCAACGATTTTGCAAGTCTAGATTGATACAGAAATAACTCCAGAATCTCTGGCTGGTTATTTTCGATTTTGCAACTCTTCTAATGAGTTTCGTTGTGTGTTTGAAGATCTTCAACGCTTTAGTGGATCTTCAACCTCTTTAATGGTATAGCTTTAAGATGAAATTGTAAAATTTTATATCGCTAGCTTTCCTCTAATCCCTTTTTCTTGAAAATAGAATTTTTCTATAACTTTCCAATCTGTAAATTCAAATTTAAACTCGATTAAAATATTCTTGTTGTGTTAGCTCATTTTGCTAGCTCATAAAAGTCATTTTAAAGTCAAGAATCTGTTAAAAATTCGTTAAAAATAGCAGCAGTTCAAAGAAAAGCTGGCTAGAGTTCATTTGCTAGCTTCGTAGTTGAATCGAATTTTATAATTTGTAAGTTTCGCGGTAGATAAATGTGGCCAAGATTCAGAGCTTTAATTCTCTATATAGCACGGTAGTTTTGAATTAAATTAGTCCTTTAACAACTCCATTACCAGAAGGTCCATAATTTTTAGTTTTCCATAGATAGTTTTCCAGTTTTTTAGTTCTCGATAGATAATTTCTTCATTTTATCAACTCAACATCATTTTCTCATTGTTAATTAAAGAAAAGCTTCGATTTCTATTTGGTATCTATTTCTAGAATTCGCAAAACCATTTTAAACCTGAACCTGAACCATTTTAAACCTGAAAATAGGTACAGAAGTGATCAATTTTCGAATCAAAATCTATTTCCTGATCAATTAGACTCATGACTTAGGAATGAAAAGTGTACAAATGTGCTAGAGCTCATTTGCTGGCTTCGTAGTTGAATCGAATTTTATAATTTGTAAGTTTCGCGGTAAATGTAGTCAAGATTCAGAGCTTTAATCGTCTATATAGCACGGTACTTTTGAATTAAATTAGTCCTTTAACAACTACATTACCAGAAGGCCCATAATTTTTTAGTTTTTCATAGATAGTTTTCCAGTTTTTCAGTTTTCCATAGATATTTTCTTCATTTTATAAAGTCAACATCATTTTCTCATTGTTAATTAAAGAAATGCTTCGATTTCTATTTGGTATCTATTAGGTTGATGCAAAAGTCTTTTTCATTTTTTTCGTACTTCTTTTGAAAAATAACAAAGTCATCAATTAACCTATGGTTTGCTCTAAATGAAAAGTGTTTATTGTTGAATTTCCCATCTTTTTAAGTCAATTTGGGTTCACTTTCAAGCAAATTCGAGAGTGAAAACGGGTTTTTCATAAAAATCTATAAAAACCTCTATAAAGAAATTGGCTGAATCAATTTCTCTGAAAATCTGAAAAGATATCTAACTTTTTGTGCTCTATCTTTTATTTATTAACATCAAAATTGGTTTCCTTAGCTAAAGCGTCTAAAATGCATCATCGAGCCGTCGCCTTTTTTGACTACCCGACTTCAGGCTCTCAAAAAAATCTAGACATAAGACATTTTAAACTCGTTTTAATGTCATTTTGCAGAAAAATAATTGGCCTTTCGAATGCAATAAACCGTTGTTCAATTGGTGCATTTGTTACTTTTTAACGGAAGTACGAAAAAAATGAAAAAGACTTTTGCATCAACCTAATATTTCTAGAATTCCCAAAACAATCTTAAACCTGAAACTGAACCATTTTAAACCTGAAAATAGGTACAGAAGTGATCAATTTTCGAATCAAAATCACTTGATCAATTAAACTCATGATTTAAGAATTAAAAGTGTACAAATGTGCTAGAGCTCATTTGCTAGCTTCGTAGTTGAATCGAATTTTATAATTTGTAAGTTTCGCGGTAAATGTAGCCAAGATTCAGGGCTTTAATTCTCTATATAGCACGGTAGTTTTGAATTAAATTAGTCCTTTAACAACTCCATTACCAGAAGGTCCATAATTTTTAGTTTTCCATAGATAGTTTTCCAGTTTTTAGTTCTCCATAGATAATTTCTTCATTTTATCAACTCAACATCATTTTCTCATTGTTAATTAAAGAAAAAGCTTGATTTCTATTTGGTATCTATTTCTAGAATTCGCAAAACAATCTTAAACCTGAACCTGAACCATTTTAAACCTGAAAATAGGTACAGAAGTGATCAATTTTCGAATCAAAATCTATTCTTGATCAATTAAACTCATGATTTAAGAATTAAAAGTGTACAAATTGTTTGTTCATTATGGAATAGTTGAAATAAAGATGAAATCGAGCTCTTTCCCCGGTTTTCAGTGGTAAGATAATTAGTAAGCAATGGGGACAGGTGCCCCCATTTTCCTCTTTTATACGGTTTCCCTTCATCTAAAAGACTTCTCATTTCCCAGCTTATGACTAGTTAGTACTTTTGACCATTTTCTGAGGGAAAAAGAAGAGAAAATGATTAGTGGCCAACACGAGCTGATTGCTTTTGCTTTCGCAAACCATATTTACACACAATTATGATATTTAGTGCAAGGATTTCGTCTTTCTTTCGATCTTTTCTTTATGAGTGATCGATTTTATGATTCTTAAGTTTGATTTTAGATTGTTTAAAGAATTTAATCATAATTTTAAGATCAAAAATCTTTGCTTTATGTTTTGTGATTGTTAAAATGTGCTTATGAATCGTTTAATGACCATAGCAAGAGTGTTTTAGCTCCGTTTTTTAACTCTAAGCTACTCAAGTTACTAGTTTACATTTGAATATTTGATATTTCAAGCATTTTACTCATTTCAATCATAAGAAAATTCATTTCAGAGCTAGAGCCAAGCCATTTCAGATTATTTCAAATCAGTTACTTGCTCAAGTCAAGTTCTATTATATTCTGAATATTTCAAACGATTTCTAATAGTTTTTGATCTATTTTTCAATGTTTTTTTGTTATTTTGGAGTTAAAATTAAATAGCTAAATCACCAATTTCCTTCTGATTTAACTATACATTTGTGCCAGAACCAAGCCCGTAGCCGGAGAATCGCTAGAGCTTTGTCCAGAAGCACCCAATCAATTTACACTCAAAGAAGAAAATTAAGCAAAATCTTCAGGCTACATTATGGCTGCAATGAATTGAAGATTTGAAGCTTGTGGAGTGAGCTTAAGGGGATCAAAGCTGGGCAGAGACGCAAAAAAACAAACAAAGAAACAAAAAACAATCGTAACAACCGAAATTCGAACCCCTTTAGCTCTCTCCACAAGCTTAAAATCTTCAATTCATTGCAGCCATAATGTAGCCTGAATATTTTGCTTAATTTTCTTCTTTGAGTGGAAATTGATTGGGTGCTTCTGGACAAAGCTCTAGCGATTTTCCCAAAAACACGGAAATCTTGGCTTTTCCGCTATCATTACTTATTTTTTTTCTAATAAACAAGCAAAATCAAGGAAAATCTTGTTATTAATACATTGAAGAATGTATTTTTACAAATAGAACTTCTATAATTTCAATATAAACAAGAATTTCGGAGGAAACTCTATGGAAACTATTGAAATCGGAATCAACCAATTTCCGGGAGCGATTGCTTGTCCTGAAATTCTTAATTGTGCCAAAGTTCTCTATATAAAAGCTAGAAATTCTTTTCAGATATGATTTGGTGTTAAAATCTCAGATATTTTGATATCAGATAGTTTGGTGATCTGCAATGAGATCATCAAACAAATTGCCCACTCCATCGCTTCCATCGACCGATTGGTTTCTCAATTTGAAGCCGATTCTTCCATCATTCTCTTTACCAAATGATGAAACATTGAATTGTCTTCCATCAACAAGCAATAATCAAGTAAAATTTACAATTCATAAGAATTCACAAATGAAATGAATGAAATGAATTTAGAAAGGTTTCTGAAATTAATGAATTTCTTTCAGCTGCCAAAAAAGACTCAAGATCATCAAGAGAATCATCGAAATTTGACGAATTCTTCGATTCTCTTGTTTTCAAATGGGAAATCTATCGAAAGGTCAAAATTCATTGGCACAAATGGTAATTCAGTGATGTTGACGCCACCGCACACGCCGGAAGATGGATTGAAGGTTGGTGTTAACGATTTATGTGTGTGAATGACATTTCAATGCTTTTAGTGATTTACTTGTAAACTTAGGACATTGGCAGCTAAAAGCTGAAAAAACTGGCTCTTTTTGGGCTGGATGAAGCGTTTTGGCCGTGACGCAATCGGCAGCGCGCTACGGTCCACACGATTCGGGTTCGACTCCCGGCTGTGTCATGACTTTTTGGGCTGGATGAAGCGTTTTGGCCGTGACGCAATCGGCAGCGCGCTACGGTCCACACGATTCGGGTTCGACTCCCGGCAGTGTCATGACTTTTTGGGCTGGATGAAGCGTTTTGGCCGTGGCGCAATCGGCAGCGCACTTGTTTTGACCGTGGCGCAATCGGCAGCGCGCTTGTGTTGGCCATGGCGCAATCGGCAGCGCGCTACGGTCCACACGATTCGGGTTCGACTCTCGGCTGTGTCATGACTTTTGTTTTTTAGAAAAACGAAAGATGAAAAGCACAACTATTTAGAATTCTAAGTCTAAGAAACTAAAAATGATAGAAATCGGTCCAGCGGGAGCTGAGAACTCGCGCTTACAAACGGACAGACGGACAAACACTTCTCTTTTAAATAACCAATCGACAGCAATTTCTGGCTGCATGTTTTTCGTTTTTTTCGGGTTTTCAACTCCAAAAACATTTAAATCAAAGAAGTTTGGAACGGACAGGAATCGAACCTGACACCTCCCCAGGGAAGTCGTTTTGTAAACGGGACGCTAACCGCCTCGACCATGCCTCCCATGGGTTGTCGAGGCTAAAAAAGGGCGTAGCTAAGTTTTTCCAATTTTTTACGGGTTTTTGATGAAAAACCTGTTTTGACCAAAAAGGAAGTATCTATTCATTTTTAATTCCCTATCGATTAAAAAAAAGTCTATTGAAATCGGTTCACGGGGAGCCGAGATCCAGCGTGTGACGGATGGACTCACGGACGGAAACTTCTCTTTTATATATAATAGATTTTCAGTTTCAGACAGCTCTCCTCCAAACTCAAATCGATTACAAAATCTTTCCTCAGCGTCCTCCATTCAACTATCAACAGTTAATTGTGATGGCGTTGAAGTCATCAAAAATGCAAAAGGTAGGGAAAGCAGGAATTTGTATGCTAAAATTCAAAACCCACCTTTCCTAGCGCACTCAATTCCCTATTTTCAACAATTCTTGAAAGAAGGAAGAGTCGAATACGCTAGAAAAGATGGGTTTAGATAAATTTGGACAAAGTACAGAGCCAAGAAAAAGTCTATAGATTTAAATGTTTCATTTTAAATTGAAGAATTTCTTGCCAACATTTCTGAGTCGATTTTGAATCGAATTCTTTTCGAAAATGTATGATAAATGACGTAAAAGAACTAAAGATCTTTTAAAGAACATGCCTAATTTCTATTTTGCCATTCTTTAGATTTCGATCATTTTAGATAAAAACATTTCTGGACTCCTTAAGCTTATCGAGTCCAGCGAAAGATCGATTGAAATCTAAAGAATGGCAAAACAGAACCTAGGCATGTTTAGTATCAAAATGAAGCTTAGAATAAGGGCTTGCGGAAGAACTGGGTTTCATGCTCGAAGGAGCTTTGGGAAGTAAAAAAATCAAAGAGCGAGGCAGACTGACTGAAAATTTTGACCGGACAGGTTAAGCAGGTCTATTTTTTATATTTTATTCCTATTTTCAACAATTATCGAAAGAAGAAAGAGTCGAATACGCTAGAAAAGATGGGTTTAGATAAATTTGGACAAAGTACAGAGCCAAGAAAAAGTCTATAGATTTAAATGTTTCATTTTAAATTGAAGAATTTCTTGCCAACATTTCTGAGTCGATTTTGAATCGGATACTTTTCGAAAATGTATGATAAATGACGTAAAAGAACTAAAGATCTTTTAAAGATTAAAGGATAAACGAGATTTTCTGGGAAAAAAACAAAAATCAAGGGCAAAATTTGATGTGTTCTTTGTCTTAAAATGGATAAGCTTTGATTCAGAATTTCTAAGCAAAAAGAGATCTTTCTTTTTCAGAGAATCACTTGGATAAACAGTTTTTAGTAGACCTGCTTAACGAGTCCGCTTTTTCCTTTTTTACATTTTCTTTGATTAATCATCGGGTTTATGTTTATTTGAGTTGAAAATTTTCAGACAGTCTGCCTTGTTTTTTACTTTTTTTTTCCTACCAAAAGCTCTTTCAAGCATGAAACCCAGTTCTCCCGCAAGCCCTTATTCTAAGCTTCATTTTGATACTAAACATGCCTAGGTTCTGTTTTGCCATTCTTTAGATTTCAATCAATCTTTCGCTGGACTCGATAAGCTAAAGGAGTCCAGAAATATTTATCGAAAATGATCGAAATCTAAAGAATGGCAAAACAGAACTTAGGCATGCTTAGTATCAAAATGAAGCTTAGAATAAGGGCTTGCGGGGGAACTGGGTTTCATGCTGGAAGGAGCTTTGGGAAGTAAAAAATCAAAGCGCGAAGCGGACTGTCTGAAAATTTTGACCAGACAGGTTAAACAGGTCTAGTTTTTAGCAAATCCATTGAACCAACGGTCTTTGAGTAATTGAAGAGTGAATTTACATATTTCGCTCTTCATATCATTGTAGTTTCAATTCAAAGCTAGTTTTTGAAGTTTAAAATGAAAACTGACGCTCTTTTCAATATCTTTTTGGTTAAAAATTGAAAGATATTCGGTTTATTTTCTTGAAAACCCAACAATTTAACTGATTTTGGTCTAAAATTAGTTCTCTAATATGAAAAATGCAAAAATTTCAATGAAATTCATTGAATCAATTTCAAATTTCAAACAATCTCAACTCAAAGAAAAACTCGTTGCCTTAAAACAATTTCTTTTGACAAAATAGTGCTAAAATTTTGTTTTTTTGACGATATTGCTAAAATTTTCAATGGAATTGTCTATATTTTAGGCTCAAACTCTAACTATTTCTAAAGAAAAATGTTAAAACTATATTATATTTGAGTTTAAAGCTCTAAACATACTCTTAGGAGCCGATTTAATCGATTTAGCCGATCACTTTTGGTGAAATCGACTAATTCGGGCTTTTTTCTAAGCCAAATAATAGAAAAAAACCTTCCCGGAACAGTGAAAGTTGTTTTTTGTTTTCTTATAGATTAAAGCATTGCTTCTAGAGTCAGAAATGGTGTGTTTCTAGAGAACAAAGTACATAAAAGTCCTATAGTTAACCGAGATTTTAGTAATTTCTTTCATTTTCTCTATACATTTGGTTCCTTTTCCTTTTCTATTGCCTTTTCCTATTATGGTGGCAAGGAATTCCTCGTCAATGTAGCTCATTGGCAGGCGTTTGGCCGGCTGAACAGAGTTCGAATCCCGGCACGGCCTATTTTTTTGATTCCCAAAACGTCCAGCTTTAGACTGGACTGAATTCTAGGCTGGTTCTGAGGCTCTAGCTTCTATTCTCATTTATTTCAATTTCTCTCTAGCTTCTACTCTCTATAGAAGCTAGAGAATCCAGAGAATTCTATTCTATAGAATCCTTTTCCGATTTATTGCCTTTTCTCCACAGATTTGGTTCTCTTCTCTACAGATTTGGTTCTTCTCCTCCACAGATTTGGTTCCTTTTCTCTACAGATTTGGTTCTTCTTCTCTACAGATTTGGTTCCTTTTCTCTTCTCCACAGATTTGGTTCTCTTCTCTACAAATTTGGTTCCTTCTCTGCTATAATTGCTTTAATTTTTCTGATTCTAAGCCAATCTTTGACTAATTTTTAATCTTAAATAAGGCTTAAAGCTGGAAAACTCATTGAAATGGAAAATGGGAAAGAGATAGGGAAAACGGTGAAAGGAAAGGGTAATTGCATCCATTTCTTTTCCCCAAAAAAACCCATCCGAACACTACATTTGATTAGATTCATTTAGAATTCCATCCGCTTTTTCCTTTTTTACATTTTCTTTGATTAATCATTGAATTGATGTTTGTTTGAGTAGAATGAATAGGTTTTTTTCAATTGAAAACTAATTTACTGAAAAGTTTTTGATGAGATCAATGCGAAAAAACAATTTGCTCAAAGTTCTATCTGTTTTCTTGGCTTATTAATCTCTTAATATCTTCTTTATAGCATTCTTTAACCCTTAAACTTTAAAAACTAGACTTCTTAACTTAAAAACAAACAAAAGTTTGTTGTTTTCCCTTTGCAAATCGTCAATTTTCCCTATGCAATCGAATTTCTTGGAAAAACAATCAAATTCGCTTAATCTTTTCATTTTTCTCTTATTTGTAGCCAAGAATGATTTACTTTTTCTAAAATTTTCTTTTTTCATTCTCTTTCAATCACATTATTTCAGCGGTAAAACTTGTTTATTCACCCGAAAAAAAATCCCGATATTTTTAGAAACCTTTTTGGAAAGCACTTCTTTATTGATTAGCGGTAATTAGCTATTTTTACACCCTTTCACCCTCTTAAAGGTACGGTTCGCGGTTTGCTAAAAATTGACGACACTTTGGACATGAAAAAAAGTGTTTCTTAGAATTTTACGGGCGGCTAGATCTAGCTAGATTTCTAGCTAGATCGGATTTCAAAAATCGATGGTAATTTGAAATTGAAATTAAAGTAATTGAAACAGTTCCCTAGTCAGTCTAATCAATTATTCTAAAAGTTCCCTAGTCAATCTAATCAATTATTCTAACAGTTCCCTAGCCAATCTCATCAATTATTCTAGCAGTTCCCTATCAATTATTCTAAAAGTTCTAAATTCTAAATTCTAAATTTTTCCCTCATTCAACAAATTTTGTTATGGGAATAAGCGAAAAAAAACTGTTACAGTATTCTTTTGCTATCGGAATTTTGTATGATGTATTATTAAAAAAATGATGTATTATTAATAGCTGAATATTTTTTTGGGTATTCGGAATCTTTCTGCCTAAATATTTTGGTGCCTATAAAGTATTTTGGTGATTAGACCGATGTACTTTTTTTGCTCTCTTGTAAACACACGATTTCTAGTGCACCTAATCTACCGTACAAACCTAGTAGTGCATCTTAAGCTTT